TCTGATTCTCCTTAGTTTCACACTGAACTAAAAGAGTATTTTGATATCTCTCAACAAGATTTTCAAATAAGCATGGTAAATCTTTTGATTTGAGTGTTGTATTTGTCATTATAATTTATATACATATGATTCTATGAAAAAAAAAAAAAAAAATCGCAATTTCAAGTTTTATTTCTGAAAAAACTACTTTGTAAAGCTTTGGGGATGAGCACGGATTATGAAACTATATATCCAAAGGAATATTATTTAACAGTTATTTTTTAAAGTTTTATATAAAAAAACACGACATAACATAACAGGGGAGTGTTTTCTAAACTCATTTGTAACGTATATGAATTGATCAACAAAAATTTCTAGAATTGATTTCCAAATTTGGAAATCTCCCTGACTGTAATAATGATGAATAATAGTTTTATTAACCCATTTTCATCCATACGTGTAACATCATGACTATTTTTCACAACAATGAATGTTTTCAAGCTTCATTAGGTTGCTTGTTTTAAAAGATCTGAAAGGAAGGACATAGATATTAATTTTTCTGCAGCAAAGTCCACAGATCGTGTTGATATTAATATTGTTTGGAGACATTAGTTTACAGATATATTTTTAATTTATTAAATCATTTAATGAATTTATTTTATATATTTTAATAATTTAGTTTACTGTACCAATTAATTCAATTAATTGTATTCAAAGAAAAAATAAGAAAAAAATGATGGTAAGGAAGGTAGAAATGCCAGAAAATGATATAGTTGAATATATATATGTATACTTGAATGATTAGTTGAAAAAATTTTATGAAATTAGTCTGTAAAAAAGATTGTTTTATAAAAAAATTAAGTATAAGATACAATTAATTAAATTACCAATATAATATTTACTTTTAAATATATAATATATATAATCTAAATTACAAACAAACAATAAGGTCACCTCAAATAATATTAGATTTATGTGAATATTTCAGCAGGTGTAACAGCATTAGATATAACACTTCCCAGTAAATTTTCTTTTTTCAAAAATTGTGTTGGAAAATTAACTAAATGTCCACGAATGTTTTCTATTTGTGAGGCTACACTATCAATTGATGCTTCAGTATCAGCTATATGACCTAGAGGAACTTTTGATTGATCAGGAACGAAATTCTTATATTCCTCCCAACTAGTGACTGAAAAAATATACACAATATTATCAGATTTATTGATTAATTTGATTTTTTAAAAATAAAATGTATCCATGTATGTATGTATATGGGGAGTTTCTAGCAAAAACCGGGTACAAGTATAGTAAAATTTTTTGAGTGATGATCTCTGCAAAATATGTTACACGTGCTTTTGACATATAAAGTGAATATTAATATTTCAAGCCTTGTATCTTGTCATTGTACTAAGTAAACAATGTCTAAAACTTTCGCCAGTTATAATCCTTGTGGCATAGATATATATTATGCAGAAAACTCAATTTTGGACTAGAGACTTTATACCTGGTTTTTTGCTAGAAATCTTCTCATATATATATTATATGACCTACCTTTATCATCTGGTATGCAATGAAATAATGAACGATAAATTTCCGTGTTTTTATTTGCTCTTGAAGTCCAATAATCATAGAATTTATCTGAAAGTGGATCCATTAAAATTAAATCTTCTTCTGTTTGTTGTTTAGAATGACGATATGATGATGATGATGACTCATCAAACATGTGTGAAATTGAATTATCCTTTTCATGTAACAATTCATAAACATATTTGGCTTCGAGAGGTGGTAAACAACTTTTTGTCACAGTTGAATGGTCTTGTTTCTCAATAAATCCCAAGTGTTCTTTAAAGATAGAATTACGTAATTTAAAAGCAAATTTTCGTGCTAAATACTAAATAAGATATATTAATAAAATGTGTCAATATGTATTTTTCAATTCATTAGCAAGTAAATGAGTAAATGAATAAATGAATGGTGAAATAACAGGTAAATGTTACGTACATCTTTACCATTCATTTTAGACTCAACAACTGCATTATCTTCAACAATGATTGCAATTTCTGAATCACGATTCCCAAGTTGTGATCTATCATTTAGATTGGCTAAAATATTATAAATAGTAATTAAATCATCTAATTAAACCATTTAATTAAACAAAACCATTTTATTTTATTTATCATATACCTGAACCAATAACAACATATTTGTCATCTACAATCATTATTTTGCTATGAATATAAACTTCCTCTGTCAAATAATTATGTTTACTATCCATATGTGTCATTCCAGTAGGAATCATAGGTTCACCTTCAATTTCAACATTTGTTGAAAAATCAGCATGCTCATCAGAAAATGAATCTTCAGTTTTTTCAGGTGCATGTTGAGCTATTTGTTGTTGTTGTACATTATTATCATCAGTATTATCAGTCTGTGAAGATGAAGATTGTGATTTCTCTCTTGTTAATATATCTTCTGGTTTTAATGATCGGTTTGCATCTGAAGATGATCGACTTTTGTTGGAAGAATCATTTATAACTTCTTCCTTATTATCATTATCAATATTACTATCATTATCAATATTACTATTATTATCAGAATTATCATTATTGTTTTTATTGTTATTATTAAAACTTAGAGAACTAATTGAATTCCTTAATATAGAGCTTCTGGCTTTTCCTTTTTTTGAAGATGATTTAGAATGTGTAATTGACTCATCATCATCTTTACGAATTTTATCATGACCACGTAGAGCAAAAAATGAAATATATTTCTCAGGATCAACCCCAGCTTCAGTTAACTTTTCCAAAAGTGATTTACCACCACGACAAATAGAAACATATTGCCAATGCATTATCATTCTTTTATAAATAACAATATATATGTAATGATGGGGATAGATGATTAATGATTATTATATGTTTACAACCAATTTTAAAATTTTGATAAAATTACCTAATTGTTCCTGCATCTTTTGAATCCAAAGCTGCTTCAAATGCTGGTAATAATGGCATCACTACTATTACACGGAATTTCTCATTATTTTTGTTTGCTTTAATTATTCTTTCAACAATAAACTATATATTTAGTTATAAAATTTATAATTATAGGTTCTTTAATAATAATAACAATAATAATTTTCTTCTAATCATTAAATAAAATGTAAAATTACTTCTCCGATTCTATTTTTTATTGTATTATTTGGATCATTGTTAGAAGACGTTACTAAAAATAAAACATAATGCTCATTAGAAAATATTTATAAAGTGAGCAACGATGATTTTTATATATAAACTTACTGAAAAATTGGTTTTCTATGTAGATAAAGTGTTCGGAAGTTCGAATTAAATGACAATATGTGTTATAAATTGAACTCTTATTTTTTTTAAAAAAAATTAAAATTAAAAATTCAGTAAAAATAAAACTTAACATTTTTTCCCATACTTAAAAATAAATAAATAAAAAGAAACCTCTGTTTTGATTCCGCTACTCCAAACAGAACTGCTTCTCAAAAGTTGAACATTACAAGTACCCTTGAATCTTGATTCATCACGTGTACTAACAAACTCGCCTTTTGGTGTTAAGAAAGGGATATCTTTACGTTCAAAAGCTTTCTCATCCTTTATAAAATTCCATCTTTGAACAAAATGACGAGCTACATCACGGGCAGGAGTTCCAGTCTATTCAAATAAATTATTTACTTGATATATCTTTTTATTTTTTTTATTTGAAAGAAAAATCAATTTTTGTAATTTAATTCTTTCCCAACCATTCCAATTGAAACATCATGCCAAGGCATACGTGGCACTTTTGATTTATCTACAAGTTCAGCCTCAAAATCAACAACTAGATATCAAAAAAAATATTAGTTGTTGTTACAGATAAATATGTTTTTTATATATTCATACCAACCATTTTGAAAATCCTTTACTCTAGGATTCGAATAATCTTGGCCAGGCCATATTGTCAAATCCTTCATATTTGGTTTCCAATCCACCAATTCATGATTATGTGTATCATAACGACCAAAACACAAATCTAAACCTCCAATAAATGCAATTTTACAATCTACAACCACCATTTTCTATATAATTCATAAAGGAATAATTTATTAATTAGAATCAATTTTTTTGGTATTTTTAAAATAATAAAAATATATTACCTCATGATGCTGTTTATTAATCATAAAACATAAGTAAAAATAATATATTTTTAATAATGACATAAAATAACTTGTAAAATAAGATAAATTAATAATAAATAATTCTAACCGCCCAAAACATTGTTCCTTCAGGGCCATGATCTGGATGTCTTTGAACTGATAATTAACAATTTTTAAAATATTTTTTTGTTTTTTAATATATTAATTATTTTCAATTGATGGATAAAAATAAATTTGATCAAAATATTAAAATAAATAAAACCTATTATATTTCGATGAAGCTGTTGGAGAGATATCTTTGTATGGCGTGAATCCATACTCAAAGCATATTTGACTTCTTTATATACTACAATATATATCATAACGCCTTCTTCTGCTTTTTTTTGAAGTAAACGATCAAGTCGATACTCTTGATTGTCTTTTGGAGGACGACGAAGATACTAATTTTGGAAAAAATAAAAATAAGTTCTATGTTTTTGTCAAGTATAATTAAACTGACATTTCTTTACCAATTCAGGAGATAACCACCAATCTTCAATATAAATTTCTGAAGTTGCTGCCATTATAGCTTGTGAAACAGCATAAAAATAATCTTTACCATCAATATAAAATTTTACTTTGGCATTTTCTCTTATAGGAGCATAAGAACCAAAACGATGTTGGTTTACCCAAGGAGAAGACCTTTTGACCAAATCGATACTATCAGTGAATTCTTTCAATGTATGAGAGTCACCTTTAAGTTGAATTTTTCGAGAACTATTTTCAATGTTGACATGTTCATGAAATTGCAAAGGACGATTGGTAGATTTTTCATATTTGAAATGTGGATCTAATAAAAAAACATCTGCTGGTGTTGTAGAGCTTATATTTGTGCAAAAAGCTATATAACTATTATTATTATCATTATTTTGCAAAATTAAGAATAATTTCAAGCCATTTTCAAGAAAAAAAATATAATAAAAAGAAACAAATAAGAAAGGATACGAATCACGAACTATTACCCATTCCCATTCCCATCTATCATTAGAATTTCTAAAAGAACAAAGGTGTCTATGAAATTTTTCAACTTTATTGGACAAATAACCTTCTTTACCCTTCCAGCCCATATCTCTTGTGATTGATATGGCACTGAGTTCAAGGAATTCATTCAACTCATATGAGACATGCATATTCAATGATTTAATTAACACAACAAGATAATTTTCCAATTCTTTACGTCTTTCAAGAGCTGCTGTCTGGGTTCTGCCTTGATTACGATTCATTCTATGATATGTTGACCTGAACCATCTTATTATCCCAGTAGGAAATTTAGGAATTTGTGGTAATTCTGGTCGTCGATGTAATGAATAATGTAATTGCATAAAATCAATTACATTCTTTTTTATAACCCATTTTACATCACCATATTCCAATTCTATTCTAAAAGTACTAAGTGTACTGCGTGCATCTTCACTATGATAAGAGTCTGTGATTGCAAGCTTTTAATTATATTTTATTTTTAATTTAAAAAATTAATTATTATTTAATTATTTAATTATTTAAAATTAAAGAAATTTTTTTATTTACCTTAAGAGCATCATAAAGAATCGGTGGCTTATGTATGTATGTATGTATGTGTGTGTGTATATATATATATATATATATAGTAAAGATAAATTTTATTAATATATTAATTTGATAAAAATGGATAAAAAAATTTGATAAATACCGCTTTTTGATTTTTATTATCTCTTCTCATCCATAAAAATGGAACAATTACAGGACTTGGAAATAAAAGACGATCAACGTTACCGGCTTCTTTTAAATGATCTTTACCATATTTTCCAGCACCAAAAAGTTTGTTGACAGAATGTATTGCAAGGGCTGTTTGTACACGATCCCGCAATCGAGCTTTTATCTGACTTGAACCTACGTGTATATATATATATATTCTCTTTAAAATTGAAAATTAATTCATTAACAAAAAGATTTATTAAACTGATTAATATTATAAATTACCTGCGACTTCATTTCCTCCAGAATTGTCCAACAAACCAGAGTTCGAGTCTTGACTAGTAGACTGTTGTGAAAATCGAGAGTTTTCTGTGGCATTTAAAAGGTTTCTCAAGATGCTTGGATTTTCAGGTTTCTTTTCGGGTATATAAGGTGCAGCTAATTGGTCTTCGGTTATGGTTGGATCGAATTCACTAAGGGTACTCTGATGTCGAGAGAAAGGTTTTCTGCGTGGCGGTGATTGTGTTTGATTGTTGGAACGAAAACTGCTATTTGTTGGAGGTTCTTCACCAATAAGGTTAAAAAACCCATCGATAATTGATTTTTGCCAATGTGGTAAATCTTCATTTTCATCAATGTCAGAACTAGTAGGGGAAACGTTTTCTTGTGGATTTAATAATGCAAGGGTTTTTTTGGAAAGTTCGACTTTAGATGATCGTCGATCATCATCATTTGAATTATTTTCAACCATAAATAACTAATTATTTTTTAAAAAAAATTTGAAAATTAAAGAAAATATCATATATATATTCAAATATTTGATACTAAATTCCAAATAAAGGAATCTCGAAAGTGCAGATTTATATTAATTCAAAAATGTTATACAAATTTAACTAGGAATTCTATTCTGTTCTTTCTGTCATACAAGATCAGGTTATTATATCATTCATGATCATTTATATAAATTATTGCATATATATTGCATGAATCTAAAATGTAGATGACGCAATTGCCAAGATTTAGCACATATATAGCTTATTTTTTTTTTTTAAGCTACAATTTTAAAATTTTATAATCAAGTTTTAGCGAGTAAATATAACCTTCTTGTAGCAATTATTATCTTCTTGATACAAATTTTAATTTGTATAATTATTTTCTTTAAAATATAATATAATTATCATTAAAATTATATAATAACCATAATTAATTAAATTTTTTTCCATTTAATAAGTCGGGAAAATCTAATAAACGACTATAATAAATGGCTTTTGGATGAATGTTCTTATCATTGTTTATATTAGTTGAAGATATCATAGAACCACCATTCTTTAAATGATCATTAAGTGAATCATTAGTCAACCAAAAATCAATTGAATTCGATATATAGTGAGCATCTGGACGTTTATCAGGATCAGGATCCCAACAATCTTTCATTAATTCAAAGTAAAATGAAGGTGTATCAGTTGGAATTTGAGGTCTTTTACCACGGTTACAAATATCCTTAGCCAGCTTTAAATCATGTGCAACTTCTGAAAATGGTTTGCTACCTGTACATATTTCCCACATAATTATACCAAAACTATATATATCTGATTTATTTGTAAGCGGAAGACCTTTAAGAATCTCAGGAGCAACGTAAGGAAGCACACCATGAATCGCATTTTTGCTAACAAAAGTGTTGCCTGCTGGTCCACACAATCCAACATCAGTAATCACAAAATGAGATTGATCTATATTTAAGATATTACCACTGTGTAGGTCACCATGGATAAGATTTCTTTTGTGTATCTCAGAAATACCATTTGCGATCTGTTTAACTATTTTAATTTTCTCCTTCCAAGTATAAATGTAATTTCTTTTAAGATGGGAAGATAAATTTCCAAATGGTGCATATTGCATAACCATCATAAATTCACGACTATTTGGAAGTTGAGTTATTCCGTAACATCGCGAAAATTGAGGTTGCAAGTATAATGACCAATTTTTTTTAATCTAATTAATTTTAATAATCAAGTTTATTAATAAGACTAGTGATTATAGAGTAAAATGTGATTATATCAAGAGTTAGGTGATAATTAAAAAAATCAAACCTTAATTAAAAATTCTGAGCTAAAATCTTTTGATCCATCTAAACATTTTAAAGCAACGGCTTGATTGGTGTTTGTCCACATTGACTCATAAATTGCAGAAAATCCTCCACGCGAAATAAATTTAAGACCAACAAATTCACTAAAAGGTATCCACTCTAATTGATATGATGGATAAGGATATTCTAATCTGATATCTCGAATAAGGTCATCAATAAATTTATATCCACTACGCCAATCTCTACGATATCCACTATTTAGTTGTTGTCCACTACAAATAACTTTATTATCATCTTTTCTCCTTACTTCAGTTTTTAATGATGTTTTTAATGAAATCTGCATTAAATTGTTGTTGTTGTTGTTGTTGTTGTTGTTGTTGTTGTTATTGTTGTTGTTATTGTTGTTGTTATAGTTGTCGCTGGTGTTGTTGTTGTTATTGCTGGTGTTGATGTCGTTTTTATTTTTTCTTGATTTTTTTTGATTTTTGTGAAAAAATTTCCAAAACATTTTTAAATTTGAAACTAAATTTAAAATTTTGATTTCTTTATATTCTGTTTAATTATTTACTCATATTACATAACGTATATATATGTTAGATGTATATCAGTTATATATGCATGTATTTTTTTTACTAGTTACATATATAGAATAATTCTTTTTGTTAGATTTGAAACTTAGGAGCGATAAAAGTTTTTCGTTGCTTATATATATATATATATATATATACCAGTAAAAAAATTTAATTGATTTTCCATTTTATTTTTTTTTATCGGGTTTTAACTTTATTTAGATATTAATAGAATTTCAATTCTTTTACAAATTAAAAAAAAATAAAAATACTCATTCATTGTTCATTGCTTATTATGATGATTTTCATTTATGACACACACACGAGATTTTTTTTTTTTCCTAAAATTATCACAAGTTCCAAGTCTCTTTGATATTTAAAACAAACGAATATATTTTTACATGCGTGAATTTTTTTATCCATTACTCTGATGATGTAGTATTTCTCTATACACTATATGCTCGTGGTACAAGTTTTAAATATGCAACTTTAAAAGAACCATGTGGGATTTATCGTTATCTTGACAAAAAAAAAAAATCGACTAATTATAGTTCAAAACTAACCAATTTTTCAGAGAGAATAAATGCTCTTTTTTTTTTTTTTTATAGGAGAGATGTATCCAGCCAGGGTGAGAGAAAATAAATTTTCGAAACTTTTGTAATTGGTAAATATCAAAATTTATCTGAAATTAAATTCCTTAAAAATTATTTTTTTGAAAAACATAAATATCTAAATATAGAAAATTTTAATCATTAGTTATGGTGGATCTGTTTTAAACCAATTATTGAAGAGACTATTTTGCTTTAGGGGAAGACCGAAGAACACGTGATTAAGAATTGATATATATAATAATAAGGGCTAACTAGTGATGGCGTTTAACTACAACTTAATTGTTTACAAGCATTATTATTTATATATTAATATTGTGACAGTTACACACCCGTCGATAATAATAATAATTATATTTGAACTGATGTATATAAATTGACATTTTTTCAAGGAATTGGTATGGGTGGGTATACAGTCAAAGCTCTCTATACCAATACCGAATCCTCTGTCCTGAAAAACTGGCATAAGTGTCGATTTATCACAAAAATTCTTTTTTTTTTAAAATATATTTATTTATTAACAGCCACATGGAAAGAAAAGGCGGTAAATAGTCGGCCTAACCAATCTGATATAATTGATAATGTAAATTTAATAAACATAATAATACAACTACATCGAAAAGGAAAATTTTTATTGAGATTTTAGTAATTATCAATTTTTGCTTGTTTCAATCTCTGTTGGTTGTGATTTGTCTGATTGTTGTTAAACTATAATTGATTTTTTCTATTACCAACAAGGCATCCTTTATGTGATATTATTATTCTTCGTTTGGAATAAATTCAGATGCATAATTATTATGTATTTTAGTTGAACCAAAATAAAACATTACTTATCTTTTTTGTTGTTATTTAATCCTTGAATATGAATGCATGTCCGTTACAATATTCATGATGATTATTATTTGAAAATATTCCTTAATAATTAATACACCAAAAAAATATTTAACAAATCGCACATCTTCCTCGGAACCGTACCAAACGATACTTTTGAATGTTTATTAATGAATTGAATGCCCAGTTCTCTTCTAAAAAAGGAGGGAGGAGGGGATTTTTTGTAGACCATTATAGAATAGATAGGTTTTTCGCGTGTTCCAGAAAAGATAAAAGAGAAGCAGCAAAGAAGAAATACAAAAAGTAAGTATTGTAGGAGCAATGTTAGAAAGTATTAGTTCGAACTCTAGTTCTAGTTCAAATATCAAGATTAATTTATAGATTTAGATTAAAAACTTTGACTTTATGTTTTCTATTAGAGTACCTACTAATACTAAAAAAGATGATAATAAAGTAAGTAATAAGTAAATTATATTCTCTTCAAATGGGTAAGACTAGAAGATGTGAAATTTCAAATTTTATGCAGTGTCTAAATATCATTTTCAATATTGTCACCACCACCACCAACCATCACTGCTTTCTTTTCCACATTCTATCCTAATTATTCCATCATTATCATCATGACCGGTATTTTTTTGACATTTTAATTTGTAATTAAACACATCCAGGTGTCAATTTTTTTCTCTTTTTATTTATCATGTACATAAAAGAAAAAGTGGACCAATCTATTTCAGAAGTAAGCTGATGAAGTAGAAGCTAAAATTATTAATTCTATCCGGTTTAATAAAATGAATACAAGTTTTTGATTTTAAAAATACCATCAATAATATAGCATTTTTTTGAATAGAATTATGTACGTTGAAAAAAAAAATCATGCGGATGTCACATCTCTAGGTAAGACTGACCGACTGTTTTATTTTCAATTAATTGGATTTTTTGATATTATCCAACAGGACAATGAAATAACAGAATTAGAAAGTGAAATTATTAATTACAACAACAAATGGTCGTGCTGGACAAAAGTTTTGCTATAAAAAATTGCAACGTTTTGCTGTAAAGAATTTGCAACGACGTTGTGGGCCTTTTTAATTATTATTATAATAAAATATAATTTCTTAAATTATTTGTATTTTCGATGCATATTTCATTTCTCATTCAAATTTTTTATCAAATGGATTCTAATTGTGAAAATAACAAAATAAAAAGGTGAACTTTATTGATATGATTCGCGTGATCTAGAGATCTAATTGGCAGAATATGTCTCTAGCTTTAATGTAACATTGATTTTCTCAAAAAATTATTTGTTCCAAAGTTCTATTCCTTTTTAGTACTATTACTGCAATAAAAGATGAAGGGATTATAGATGCGATGCCTATTTGCCATCATATTTTTATACCTAAAATACAAAGGTAAATGACTTTTTTTTTCTCATAAATTATTCCTTATATTTTAAAATATGGGCCTTGACTTCGAATCATGTACAGAAATACGATGATACACCTCTTTTCTGCGGATGTCATGTGAACCTGAATGTTAACATTATCAAATAAACTACTTTCAATAATTCCACACCAAGTAAGTTGTGAGAGGAATTTCTCAATATTAAAGTGGATTTGTAGTCAACGTAGAACAAAATTAACAACTAAAGCATTAGAAAATATCTCCAAACTTCATATGTATTATTTTTCAAACATAAAGAGAGTTAATTATGGTCAAAATCTTTCAGTAGATGAAGTGAATTCTGGTTGTCTTACAACTACTACAGATATGCTTGAAAGTGATACAGATTGTTTGTAGACTCTGGATTCTGACAACTTTATTTATACACCTGATGAATCACCTGATCATTTAACCAGAACTGGAGTATTGGAATGATAATTCCATTTTCAATGATAATAATAACACTACTGTAACAATACAAGAATCTCAATCAGTTCTAATAACGCAATTTATTGATGAATCAATCGATGAATATTATGTATAAGTTATCGGGCAATCACTATTAAGCCATTCTTTCAAACTATTAAAGTTTAATCATATTAATGATATTGATTTTTTTTACTACATAGATATATGCTCGCTTTACATTTTTTTCTTTTATTATTATATTTTATATGCCAAAAAGAAAGGTATTATTTATTTATTTTTCTATTCTAATTACTAACAATATATTTATCATTTATTCACTCCAATTTAATTTATATTATACTTTGCTATCACAATTAAATGATGGAAATGTATATTGAATAATTAACATAAATACGCCAGATAACAGTTACGTATATAATTATCAGTGGGGAAATTGACAATAAAAATAATAATCAACCTTTATAAAAAAGAGTTACTATACTTTTTTTTTGTCTTGCAAAATAAACATGAGCGGCTGGGAATGGTGATGACCCGACTTATCGAAATATGTTAATATTAATATATGCAACTTTACAAAACGGAAAAAGAAAATCGATAATATTTGAAAAAATAATTATTTAATAAAACAGATAGAAAAAAAAAAGCATCAACTTTTCCATTTTGAATATTTTTAATAAAATTATTTACTTGTAAACTTTTTGCTTCACATATTAATATTAATATTAATATAAAAACATATAAAGTTCCGTTGTGGCAAGATTATATTATAATTAGTAAACTTTTCACAAAGGATTTTAAATAAAAATTTATTATTATTATGTTCATTCGTCGTGAAAAGTCTGTTGCAAGTAATTATATATAGATTTTAAATGCTTTTTAAAGCAATTTTATCAGATATTGGTAGGCCCATTCTTTTTCTTCTTCTTTGGGCGCTTTTTGAACTGTTGTCATCGTTAACAGTGCACTGATTGTTAATATTAAGCATCAATTAGTTAGTCGTGGGACATATGACAAGCTATTAAATAATAATAATAATAAAAACAAAGTGAGCATATGGAATAAACAGCCAGAAAACTAAAAAAAAAAATTATGAAGTCACGAGGAACCAGCTCTGGTGTCATGACTGAAAGGAGTTCATTTGCAAGGTTATGCCTTGTGTGATTAGCATTGCGGCAAAAAGGAGGAAGGGGTTGAAAGTCAGCAGCTAAGACGATTGATGCTCCAGATAAAGTGATGTTTGCAGCTGCATTGGTATCACTTCCTCGTGTTGTATACTTTATCCTTCTTGCTGGGCATCGAGGATGAACACATTCTACTGCACCATGGAGCCGAACAGTCTGCTCTTTTCCCTGCGAGCCCGATGGAGAATAAGCTTAGAAAAACAATACAGGCAAATCTTTGAAGTATCGAACTCATTTACAATTGCCACATTTCCGTAGCTCTTGTGTTGAGCTCGAATTTTTTTCATTCCTCGTTTAGAATACCCTTTTATAGGACTGTTAATTCCTTGTCAATGTCCAATACAGTGGATTAGGGTAGATTTTGGTGAATTGGTAGGAAGTTGAATATGGGCATGAATGTGTTTCTATTCCTGCACTGTTATTTTGCCATAAGCTCTTTTAGTCCGAATCTCTCCCTCCTGGTTTTCCCTTGCTTGTTTAAAGGGCATGGTTGTTAAATAATTTTCGAATTGTGCATTTTTCTTCTTCACAATAAGCAACAAGAAAACCTTTTTCGAAAAAAGCTTCATCAATTACTTCAACAATAACGGGGTTTTTTTAAAAAAAAGGCATGGTTCATTAAAAGTTAAATTAATTCCAAATCGTTACATTTTTTTCTTCACACTTTCGCATAGTCGTTTTTAATATTAGAAAGAAATATTTTAATAAAACAATTTCCCAAATTGTTACATTTCCCAAAAAAGGCAAGAATCTTTCAAAAAAAAAAACTTGATTGATTTCCTTTTTAAATTTAATAATGAATTAATTCCAAATTGTTTTTCTAGTGGCGATGCTAATATGGTTGGCTCGGTCTAAAGACATCCCGTTGCTGCGCCACACGCTCAAAATTGCGATTTCGTGTTCGTTCAAAAATGCAATAAAATTTTTTAAAAAAAGGTTTCACGTGATTTTGGCTAAAAAATTATTTTCTTACTGCCAAATTTAGATATGATAGTCGAGCATTAGTTAGTCTAAATTTAATAATGATGATCAAAAACTAGTTTAAATTTAGGAATGATCCTAGCGCTCAAATTTCTCATGAGCATAGTAAAGTATATGTTTTAAAAAGAATAGAACTCTACAACAAATAATTTTTTTGAGAAAATCTCTTTATTACATTAAAACCAAATACATATTCTATCAACTAATAGAGCTATTTTTTTAAAAGATAGGACAGAAAGTGACTTCTATACTTTTAAAATTTATGCAAAACTTAGGAGGTCTTTAGACCGAGCCAACTATACTAAACAAGTTAATTAGTTTCGACTAAATAAATAAAATAGTAAATATTTTATTTAAAACTTTTATTAATACCAAAATCAATTCGTTGATAACCTATTCATTCTACAAATACAAAAATAATTGTTATCACCCACAAGATTTTAAGTTAAACGTCGCAGTGGGTGAGCGGCCGCACATGCACGAATTTATTTGTCAAGTATTTTAATATTAATATTAATATTAATATAATAAACTAAGCAATAATAATAAAAGAAAAACAGGACAAAACAACGGATTGTTTTTCTTCGCAGGAGCAGTAAACGTCAATTAACTAAATATTAATATTAATATCAATATTATTATTATTAATACATGATAAATTAATTTTTTTTTACCGCCTTATCAAATTTTTCAACCCTTCAGCATTTAACCTTTTCCAATCTTTTATATTCTTTTAACGTTGCTTTAGAGACCTCTAATTGAGCAGAGTCAAAACTGAGAATATGCAAGTTTTTCAACGAAGGAGCTCGGCTCATTGCAACATATATTTGTCCTTAAGCAAATATGTTCTCACCAACATTCAACAATGTAGTTGGGCTTGTTTTATACACTCCCTGGGCAAAATTGTTGGTCACCACAAAACAGTTAATTACGCAAAAACGTACATAATAAAACACAAATAAATTTCATCAGATTGTGACTAAAGTTCTCAAGAACATGTATGCAAAATTTCAAATTTTTGTAATGTTTGGGAGAATAACAGTTTTAAAAAAATAAAAAGTTCGACCGATAATCTTCTGAAAAATCGTAGTTTGCCAAAAAAAGAAAACAGTTTCTCATATACTTGCCGCCCATACTAAGGGATATGGGACAATCCCCCATCCCATTGGGTATGGGTTGGTGGGGCTTTGATGTTAGTAAAATCCCCACCCAATCCCCATCCCATATCCCATCTCGAATTAACCAATCATATTTTTGTCATACAATTAAATAATAATTCAAATAGAAGAAATTTCAGTTGAAGAACTTGATGAAACATTTAACCGAATTGCTTTATCAATTACCAATGGAAATGATCTTTTTGGACAAGATGATAATCTTGAAGATGTTAGTCATCTTGATGATAATTGTGATGAAGAGGTTATAAATTTGGATGGTGTTAATGATAGCCATTTAATTATTACTGAAAGCATTGATTTGAATTCAAGTTTATTGTCTAATAATAATATTTTATCAAATGAAATTTATGAAGAAAATGATATTGATCATGAAAATACAAATTTTGACATTGATGAATTGTGTTAGATAATCATAATTTTGATTAATGATTGTTTTCTGTTGTAATACAGAATTATTTCTCTTTTTAATTGTTTTTATGGTTTTAATAATTTTTATAAATGGTAAATATATTTTGTTAATTCTATCAATGGGACATGGGTTGGGACATGGGATTGGGTTGGGGTTGGATGGGATTGGATGGGATTGGGATGGGATGGGATGGGATGGGATGGGATGGGATGGGATTTTAAGGATTTGAGTATGGGCGGCAAGTATAGTTTCTCAGAAACTTACATAATAACCACACCTAAAATCGCGATTTATGTAAAATTAGATTCTGAAAAATTACGTCATATGATTTTTTTTGTTTGCTATTTTAAAAAATTGTTTTGAAATTTTTGAAATTTTGCTAAAATTAAAAAATGTCAAAGCAAAAATCGTCAAAAATTGGATTGAAATAAATAAAGTAAAAATTGACCAAATAAATCTCCTAATTTGACATCTGTGGAATCAATTAGAAATTCGTATTCGGGAATGTCCAAATAAATTTAAAAATAATGTTGAACTTGAGACAGCTTTACATGAAGAATGGAATCAAATTCCTAAAAGTATTTATACGAATTTGTTAGAAAGTATGCCGAGAAGAATAGAAGCTGTTATATCCAATAATGGGTGGCCAACAAAGTATTGACTTGCATATAAATAAGCAAATTTCAGGTGTGGTTATGTGCGTTTTTTGTTTTTTTTGAGAAGTGGTATAAATACTTGCAAATAAAATCAAATTTTAGAGATCATTTCCAAAAAATTATTATTGGTCGAACTTTTTATTTTTTTTAAACTGTTATTCTCCCAAACATTACAAAGATTTGAAATTTTGCATACATATTCTTGAGAACTTTAGTCACAATTTGATGAAATTTATTTGTGTTTATTATAAATAGAACTTCCATCCGTTTAAAAAAAAATTGGCAGCGCTTAACTTAACGTTAACGTTGACGCTGATGTTAACGTTAACTTTAACTTTAACTTTAACTTTAACTACACAACGCAATCATTTTCGTAATACTTGAAATTTCCTTTTTTTTTTCGAAAAATTCCTTTTTTAAACAAATTCTATATCGAAAATCTCCTTTTTAAATTAAATTCATCGTATTCTTTCGTTAATTAATCAATAATGGATAAATTTCTTGCTGGTATTTTTTTTTAGTGACAGGAAAGGATCTTTTTCAAAAAAAGCTTAATTAATTTTCTTTAACAATGATGGATTAATTCCCGAATTTTTAGTGGAGGGAAAAATATTTCTTCACATTTTTGGAAAAGGCTCGATTTTAATAAATGATTTCTTTTTCATTTTTTTTTTTTTACTTATAAATACATAAATACAACCTCTGAACGTTTTAAAAAAATTTGGGAGTGATTAATTAATTAAAAGATTTATACAACGCAATCAATTTTGTGAAACGAAAATTTTCCTTTTCTTTCGAAAATTTCCAAAGAGAGATAGCATTGTTGCCAATTCTTTCTAAATATTACAATGTTGCACTGATTTGGTCGAGTTGTATTAAGATATAAAGCTATGGCTATTTAAAAGTAGTGGTGTTCTTTCACTTTAAAGTTGTGATTATCTACCAATATCGCTTTAAAAGACTTGATAGTAAGCTTTCATATGGTTATCACTTTATAGGGGTGTTGGTTAATAAGTTTTAGAGAGGTTCATGAAAAACTCTTTCAGAGACTTTTTAATATTATTCATTATCATGTAAAGATCATTCATTCACTGAATCTTTTTTTACAATTAACAAAACAATGAATCAATTATTTAAAATAATAAATTATATAGGTATATTATTTATTTTACCATTTGAACGGAAATATTAAAAAAGTCAAGTATTTGTATTTTTGTTTCTTTTGTATTTATTATACTATAACCATTTGATCTTTAATTTATTTTTTAGCCCAAGAATTTGATAATTCTTCAACAAAACTTGCAGGCAAAAATTCTGTAATTTGGGATTTGGGAATTCTTTGAAGGCCGGCCCAAATTCGCTTTGTACATTTGGGATGTAATAATTTGGGATTTGGGCGGTATTGTACAGTATGAATCATATAACTTGTGATGATGAAAATATAGTATAAAAGATGTAGAAGCAAATGTTTTATTAATTTATTTATAAGTCGCTTTACTGCGACTAGGTGGTTTATATGATGATGATGATGATGTATATCTGTTTGGATATCCGTTTGAATACCTCATGGTGGGGAGGTATTTATTGGAGCGAGGTGGTTTAAGGGTGGGGTGGTATTTATTGGTTGATTTACTGATATATGATGCTGAACCAACCCCGCCTCGTAATGGTCTCTAGCACGTTTGCTGTTAACGTTGGATGTTGATGAATGCGATTTTTATTTATTTTTTTTTTGTTAGACCCGTAAAGGTCTGTCGTTTCATATCTATCACGTTTACCGTTATTGTTAGGCGTTGATGATGGTGACTTGGTTTTAATCTTCTCATTAGACTCGTAAAGGGCTATCTATCACGTTTATCGTTTAGACATCGATGATGGTGATTTGGTTTTAATCTTCTCATTAGATTCGTAAAAATTTGTCTTTGCATATCTATCACGTTTATCATAATTGTTAGACGTTGATGATGGTGATTTGGTTTTAATCCTCTTGTTAAACTCATAAAGGTCAGTCTTTTCGTCTCTATCACGTTTACCGTTATTGTTAAACGTTGATTTGATTTTAATTCTCTTGCTAGACTCATAAAAGTTTGTCTTTTCATATTTATCACGTTTATCGTTAATTTTAGACGTTGATGGTGGTGATTTGGTTTTAATCCTCTCGTTAGACTCATAAAGGTCAGTCTTTTCGTCTCTATCACGTTTATCATAATTGTTAGACGTTGATGATGGTGATTTGGTTTGAATCCTCTTGTTAGACTCATAAAGGGCAGTCTTTTCGTCTCTATCACGTTTACCGTTATTGTTAAACGTTGATGAGGGTGATTTGGTTTTAATCCTCTTGTTAGACTCGTAAAAATTTGTCTTTTCATATTTATCACGTTTATCGTTAATCCTCTCGTTAGACTCGTAAAAATTTGTCTTTTCGTTTCTATCACGCTTGTCGTTAATTTTAGACGTTGATGATGGTGATTTGGTTTTAATCATCTTGTTAGAATCATAAAGGTTTGTCTTTTCATATTTATCACGTTTATCGTTAATTTTAGACGCTGATGATGGTGGTTTGGTTTTAATCATCTCGTTAGAATCATAAAGGATTGTCTTTTCATATTTGTCACGTTTATCGTTAATTTTAGACGTTAATGATGGTGATTTGGTTTTAGTCATCTCGTTAGGCTCGTAAAGGTCAGTTTTTTCGTCTTTATCACGTTTATCGTTAATTTTAGACGTTGGTGATGGTGATTTGGTTTTAATCATCTCGTTAGAATCATAAAGGTCAGTCTTTTCATATTTATAACGTTTATCGTTGATTTTAGACGTTGATGATGGTGATTTGGTTTTAATATTCTCGCTAGAATCGTAAAGGGCTGTCTTTTCGTCTCTATCACGTTTATCGTTAATTTTAGACGTTGATGGTGGTGATTTGGTTTTAATCATCTCGCTAGAATCATAAAGGTTTGTCTTTTCATATTTATAACGTTTATCGTTAATTTTAGACGCTGATGATGGTGATTTGGTTTTAATCATCTCGTTAGACTCGTAAAGGTCAGTTTTTTCGTCTCTATCATGTTTATCGTTAATTTTAGACGTTGATGATGGTGATTTGGTTTTAATCATCTTGTTAGAATCATAAAGGGCAGTCTTTTCGTCTCTATCACGTTTACCGTTATTGTTAAACGTTGATGATGGTGATTTGGTTTTAATAATCTCGTTAGACTCATAAAGGTCAGTCTTTTCGTCTTTATCATGTTTATCGTTAATTTTAGACGTTGGTGATGGTGATTTGGTTTTAATCATCTTGCTAGAATCATAAAGGGTTGTCTTTTCATATTTGTCACGTTTATCGTTAATTTTAGACGTTGATGATGGTGATTTGGTTTTAATAATATCGTTAGACTCATAAAGGTCGGTCTTTTCGTCTTTATCATGTTTATCGTTAATTTTAGACGTTGGTGATGGTGATTTGGTTTTAGTCATCTCGTTAGACTCATAAAGGTCAATCTTTTCGTCTTTATCACGTTTATCGTTAGTGCTAGACGTTGATGATGGTGATTTGGTTTCAATCCTTTCGTTAGACTCATAAAGGTCAGTCTTTTCGTCTCTATCACGTTTATCATTAATTTTAGACGTTGATGATGGTGCAGATGCGGGAAATGTAGGTGTTATTTTTGTGTAAAATAGGACGTAGGGCTTACACTCGAGTACAGAATTGATTGAAACCTAATTTTTTAAGATTAATTAATTAATATGATTTATCATTTGCTATTGAAAAACTTGTATATATATATAATACTTACTCGTTGAACATATCTATCATTATATAAATACCATTCATTGTTTCTATTTTTGATATATGAATAATAATGTCCTTTACGAAGGGTACCACCTTCATGAACCAAGACAGCGCTAAGATTATAACGAACATTTTTACCCTTTAACAATAAATTGTATGATTTGTATTTAATTAGCATTATGTTATTAATGCATAAACGTATCATTATCAAATATTTAATTATTTACCCTCAAAATATATTTCGAAATGTCTAGCACCTCTCCAAATTCCACACGTTTTGAAATCTTGTATCCTTGGTTCGTGGAGCTGGAGAAGCCGAACCTTTTCAATTGTATTATAAGAGTATTTGGCTCTTCTTTTATTGTAAGTTCTTGGTTGCAAGTGAACTTGTTGCACCTAATAAATAAGATTATGATTTATTTAGAAAATCAGATATTTTCAAGATCAAATTATAATAACAATGATAATAATACTTACGAACACTTGAAACCAGGTAATGCGGCGGATCCACAATACTCTTCCAAACACTCTTCTATTGAATTTTTCATTGCTGTAGAGATCGTAGCAACCCCTTCTATCGACAAAGTCTCGCTCTTACAACTTTGACAAGTTATCTAATAAATTTTTTTTCTTTCGTTAGTATATCAATTTATAAATAAACAATTAATGAATCAATTTTTTATTGTATAATGATAACAATAATAACCTTCTTTTGTAAAGTTGTCCAGAAATCATTATGCATATTTTGTGCGATCATGTTCTCATTGACACATTCACCCACCCTTTGAAGAATGCCACACAAATATAAGAAAGCATCATTTTGCTCGTCTACCTCGGCGAATGGTTCGATATCTATAATAACAATATAAGTTGTAAATTAATTTATAATAATATACGTATTCAAATATTACAAATAAACATTAATTAAATTACATACCCGTAAGATAGGTGATGAACGGGCCAGCATAAACTGGTTGCCGTGATTCCATAAGTTTAATACGCAACCGTTTCAACTCATTGAAAATACATATAGGACTACAATCACCTACATAGTGATAATAGCGATATAGTGATAATAGTGATAATAGTGATAATAGCGATAATAGTGATAATAATGATTAATAGATAGTGATAGTAGTGATAATAGCAATAAAGTGATAGTGATAATAGTGATATAAAAGAGTATTTAATAAATTAAATAAATATATATAGCATGATCAAAAGTATTTGATTAATGCAAAGAGTATTTACATTGATGGTTGCTGTTAGTTTCTAGATGCCTTTCTACATTGGGAAGGTGTACGATGACTTGAAGGATCGAATTAATGAAGCATACTACGTTGTTATCGTTTCTTAATCCGACTCCGTTATTAAAACCAGCTTCATTATTATTAAAACCAGCTCCGTTATTAAAACCAGCTCGATTATTAAATCCAACTTTATTATTATTATTTCTGAAATTGTGGTTATTGTTTCTGAAATTACGGTTATTGTTTTTGAATTTTGCAGGATATTTTCTCGCCATTACTGTGTGTGTTTCTAGATAATAAGAATTTAAATTTTTTTTTTTAGAGAAATAAAATTTAATTTTATGTAATGAGGTGAAAAGTATTTTTTTTTTATAACTACTTGAGAAAATTCACCGCATCTATATATATGTAAATTTTATGTTTCACTTGTTAGAAAAATTTTTTTATACATAAGTAGGAGGGTAAATAAAATTGTAAAAGACATTAATTTTTTTTTTTATATATTATTTTATTCTATTATTTTTGAAAAAAAAATTTTTTGTTTAATATATTCAACCTTTGACACAAATATAATAGCTTAAAAAGGAAATAAAAATTAGTGTCACCACCTGCAAAAAAAGAAGTCTCTTTACGATAATAATAAAATATAAGCAATAAAAAATATCTCTCCGAATCGTATGAAAACAAAAGAATTGTCTCTTTACAAAACTTACTGATTTATTACTATTGCACAATAAAATAAATAAGTTCTATTATGTTAAAAAAATTTCATCTTTACAAAATAATTACGTTGACTAGGTGACTCGCCGTTCGTTATCGCATAATGGATATTAATTATTAAAATCTATCTCCAAATCATGCCTTAGAACAGATAGCTACACACTATTTATTACTATTATAATAAATAACAACTACATAGATATTTCGTCATGAAACAATTGATCATATATAATTTTATTTTTATTTTTAATTTTTATTTTTTATTTTTTATTTTATTTTTTTGCGAAAGATTGTTAGTCAATTAGTTTTATTTATTTTATAATTTATTTTATACATGTTTTAAAATACATGGATAAATAATTTCTTCGTGTTATTGAAAACTTTTCTCTCATGTATAGACCAACCTTTGCCACCACCTTAATTTTATTATTAATAAATAAAATTGCACATATGTGCTTATTAGTATATAAATTTTATTAAATTGATTAATATTAAAAAAAAAGTCTCTTTACGATAATAATAAAATATAAGCAATAAAAAATATCTCTCCGGGTCGTGTGAAAACAAAGAGGTTGTCTCTTTACAAAACTTGCTGATCTATTACTATTGTACAATAAATAAATAAGTTCTATTATGTTAAAAACATTTTATCTTTACAAAATAATTACGTTGACTAGGTGACTCGCCGTTCGTTATCGCATAATGGATATAATTATCTCCAAATCATTAAAAAATTTTGTCTTAGAATAGCTACACACTATTTATTACTATTATAATAAATAACAACTACATAGATATTTCGTCATGAAAAAATTGATTATATATAATTTTGATTTTTTTTTTTTTTTTTTTTTGCGAAAGATTGTTAGTTAGTTTTTTATGTTATGAAAAATTTTCCACCACCTTTTAGTTTTAATTTTATTATTAATAAATAAAATTACATACACATATGTGCTTAGGTGGGTAATTATATAATTTTATTAATATTTGGCAATTCACCACCTGCAAAAAAAAAAAGTCTCTTTACGATAATAATAAAATATAAGCAATAAAAAATATCTCTCCGAATCGTGTGAAAACAAAGGGATTGTCTTTTTACAAAACTTACTGATTTATTACCATTGCACAATAAATAAATAAGCTCTATTATGTTAAAAAAATTTCGTCTTTACAAAATAATTACGTTAACTAGGTGACTCGTCCTTCGTTATCGCATAATGGATATTAATCAAAAAATTTTTGTCTTAGAATAGTTACACGCTATTTAAGAAATTTGAAATGTTGCACTAATTTTTTATATTGTGCAACGTAGCTTTACAATACACGGCAAACATTCTGGCAATAAAAAAAGTGAGTTATAAACTGAATTTGAATTGGATCTGAACTTGATCTCCAATTTAGAGAGGTAACAACTATATACTGGTGAAGTTTCAGGAGCAATGGGTTCTGTATAACATTTCGTGTAACAACTACATAGATAGATATTTCATCATGAAACAATTGATCATATATAATTTTTTTTTTATTTTTTAAATTTTTTTTTTTTTTTTTTTTGCGAAAGATTGTTAGTTTTATTTATTTAGAATTTATTTTATACATGCATAAATAATTTCTACTTTTCCCATTTTCCCACATATATATTATAAATCTTAATCTTGGTGGAAATTTTGAAATGTTACACTAATTTTTTATATTGTACAACGTAGCTTTACAATACATGGCAAACAATTCTGGCAATAAAAAAGTAAGTGATAAACTGGATTTGAATTAGATCTGAATTTGATCTCAAATTTAGAGAGGTAGCAACTATAATACTGGTGAAGTTTCAGGAACAATGGGTTCTGTATAATATTTCGTGTAACATCAAACTTCCGTTATGCTTGTCTGAGCATGAAAAGAAAATTGAATGGTGGTGGGTTTTTTAAAATCCAATGTGAGATGATCCGCACTGTATTACTATTATAATAATAACAATTACATAGATATTTCGTCATGAAACAACTGATCCATATGTAAATTCTTTTTATTTTTTTTTTGCGAAAGATTGTTAGTTTTATTTATTTAGGATTTATTTTTAGGATTAAATAATTTCTCATTTTCCCACATGTATAAATATCGTGACCAATCTTTGCCCATAGTGGAAATTTGAAATGTTACATTAATTTTTTAAACTGGATTTGAGTTGGATCTGAACTTGATCTCCAACTTAGAGATGTATGGTGCAAGTTCCACAACTTTCTGCGCCATACCACCAATTTTGATTAATTGGTTAATATTAATAGAGTGTTGTCTATCGCGTGACATAAGTCCATTAACTAGTATCAACGGATATAAGATATTGAAAAGATAATATTATGTAGTGTTATGGAAAACATGAATGTTCTAATCAAAGAAAAAATATGGAAAATACGTTGTCAGGAGGTTATAAATACAGAAATACATTTTGGTATAAACAAACATATGAAAAGAAATAAAAACAACAACAATAATAATAAAAACAATAATAACAATAATAGTCACAATAATAATATTATTAGCAGAAATGTTAATAAAAATAAAAATATAAATGATAATAAAATAATATTATCAAATTGGATATCAAATAATATTAGATTTGGAGTCCCATGGATGTCTTCGTGACAAGTCACTAAACTTTCTTGTTGAAGTGTGGTTACAATTATTAAATGTTGTTCTTAGGAATTAACAGCCACATGGAAAGAAAATGCGGTGATCTGTCGGCTCAAACGGTCTAATTCAATTAGATACGGGGGGTATTTGTTTTTTTTTTTAAATTGTTTATTTATTTTACTATGTAAATTTATTTGAAATAACCAATAAAAAATAACATTACGATGACATCGGAAAAAAAAAAAAAAAAAGTAAATCTGCAATAATATATATAGGAAAAACGTGGATCACAAAACCAAACAAAAAATTCCAAGTAGGGAAAAAAGCGGTACTACGAGTTTTGTGTAATTTTTTATATTTGGGTATTACTAATTGATAATCGTTTGTGATCTCTTTCTTAATTCAACAAAAAAAAAATTTAATAAAATGAAATATAGATCGACGAGAGGAAGTTATCAAGACAATTTAACATTTTCTGAGGTGGTACTGATAGGTTTAGCAAAAGATGGTGGTCTATTTATACCACACGATATACCAAAACTTCCAAATAATTGGTATAAAGATTGGTACAATTATTCGTTTACCGAATTGGCAATAGAAATTTTCTCATTATATATATCTGAAACAGAAATACCTAGAAAAGATCTTCAAAAGTTAATAGAAAAATCTTATTCAACAACAGCGCCGTCAATCGTTTTTAGAGATAAAGAGGTCACACCCATCAAAAAAATAAAAGATAGGTTGTATATTTTGGAGTTGTTTCATGGACCAACTTTTGCATTCAAAGATGTTGCATTACAGTTCCTGGGCAATTTATTTGAATATTTATTGATAAAAAAGAATAATAAGAGTGTGGAAAAGAATGAGGAAGAGAGAGAAAAAATTACAATTGTTGGTGCAACTAGTGGCGACACTGGAAGGTATTATTTATTAATGATTATTAAAACTTAAATTTAATGATAATAATGGCGCCTATTAATATTTTTTTTTGTTTAGTGCAGCAATTTATGGATTAAGAGGGAAAAAAGATATATCAGTATTTATTTTACATCCACATGGAAAAGTTTCTCCAATTCAAGAAGCACAAATGACCACTGTTTTAGATAATAATGTTCATAATTTAGCTGTGAAAGGAACTTTTGATGATTGTCAGGTAAACAACAATAATTATGTATATTTATATACATGTGAATTATTATATTTTATACATGTATATTTAATATATTTTATTAGGACACGGTTAAAGCGCTTTTTGCAGATGTTGAATTCAATCAAAAACATAAGCTTGGTGCAGTAAATTCTATAAATTGGGCTAGAATTCTTGCACAAATAGTATACTATTATCATTCGTACTTTCAACTATTAAAATCTTTAAATATTTCTCCATCAACATCTGCATCTGTACCAGATATTAAATTACAGTATTGCGTACCAACGGGTAATTTTGGTGATGTTTTAGCAGGTTATTATGCTAAACATATGGGACTGCCAATTGATAATTTCGTTGTGGCAACAAATTCTAACGATATTTTGGATAGATTTTTTAAAACTGGCAGATATGAAAAAATCAATATTAATATCAATGGCAATAGTAATAGTAATGATACGTATGTGCACGAAACTCTAAGTCCTGCTATGGATATAACAATTTCTAGTAATTTTGAAAGATTATTATGGTATTTGGCATATGAAAATGTTAAAGATGGCGAAGGCAAAGAAAAAAAGATTAATATTGCATGTTCTACAGTTGATGATTGGATGAAAAAAGTTAAATCAAATCAAAACATTATTGTTGATAAATCAATTTTGGATATAGCACTTTGTGATTTTACAAGCTCTAAAGTTACTAATGAAGAGGTTCTGTTTTAAAAATTCTTTATTTAAAAAAATTTATTTAATTACTAATATATCATTTATTTATCTCTATGTATTCTTAGACATTAAAAGCTATAAAAACTTATTATTCGCCTAATTCTGATAACCAAATCTCGTATTTGCTTGATCCACACACTGCTGTTGGTGTGGCAGCTGCAGAAGTTGTAGTTGGGCAAAATAATGATCCGTAAGTAATCTATTAATTATTATATTCAAGTATTATTTTTTCAACACACTTATGTTTATAATACACTTATGTATGTGTATGCATGTATGGATAGAAATACATATCAGATTTGTCTTTCAACAGCTCATCCAGCAAAATTCTCTGAAACAGTTGTAACAGCATTAAAAAATTTTCAGAATTTCGATTTTCAAAAGATTCTACCAGTGGAATTCAAGGGATTATTGGAAAAAGAAAAAAATGTTGTTTTTGTGGAGAGGGCTGATAAAGAACTGGTTAAAACAGTTATTGAAAAAGAATTGGAAAAGGAAAAAACTTTGATTAAATAATCGTAAATTATTCTTATTTGTTTAATTATTAATTTATTCTTTTGATTTTCTTATTTATTTATTTTCATATCTCCAATAAAATATTATAAATTAATGTAAATTATTCAACCAACAATCCAATAAATTTATTCAAAATTTAATTTTTTTAATCTATCCATTGCAATATCCATCATATCAATTAGCCCTCTATTCAACTCTTCATCTTTATCACCATTCTGGATTTTTTCTTCAATTATTGGTATCAATTCTTTTCTACTCCTTCCATTAACAAATATCACAAATTTAAAACCAAACTTATTTTCATACTGTGAATTCAATTCTTGAAGCTTTGAATTGATCTTATCTTCTTCTTCATTCACATTCGCATTCACATTCTCATTACTACTCGCATTATTATTATAACCTTGTTCATTGAGTGACATTATCGAAAGATTTTTTCTATTATCACCTAATCGTGGGTGTGCATTAATTATTTCAAGCTTATCAGATAATGATAATGATAGATCATCATCATTGTTGTTGTTGTTCGAAGTAACATATTCTTTGGCAATTGTTATCAATGATTTGTATGATGTGAAAGGTCTTGATGAATAATATAAATGTTTAGCTAAAGGTGGTGCTGATTCAAATAGAACATTTAATGAAGAGACAAATTCTTCATACGGTAATTTGTTCAATTCGGAAATCGTTGGTAGATTAACAGTGGTGTTGTTTCTTGCCATATTTTAAATTTTTTTGAAATTAGGAGCCCAAAGAAATTAATACAACGTATTATTTAAATGTAGAAATGATTCGAGTTTATGTATGACTGATAAACCTTCTTAGTAATAGTGAGGGGTTACTATTACGAATAAAATTTAATTTACCGACTGACAATTTTGTTGATCATTTACCCAAGGGATGATGCATGCATTTGGAATTTTTTATTAGTTGCACGTGTCGTAACTTGTTTTGACTGTCTGTTCCTTTGGAATTGTAGCAAAAAAGGCGCGGAAAATTTACAACATCATCATCACACTTATTATTACCGGCTCAATTCCATCACCGTTATCATCCACAAGTACTTTTGATTGTTTTATATATATTTATTCATCGTCAGGAACTTTATAAATTTTTCTTTTGGATTATTTAAAACTCTTTAATTGGCATTCTATCAGATAGGTTAAGAGTTGTAAGCACCTGAGTGAGTTCATCTAATGTTGAATAATCAGTTCTAATCTTGCTAAAAAATTATAAACTTCATCATTCTATTATTCCCGTTATTAATCTGTTATTCCGACAACTCTTTGCATCTATTAAAAAAAGAAAAGAAAAATTTAATTTATTTATTAAAAACAGATTATCTTATTAATACATTATTGCACGGTGTTTACGTGAAAGTCACGAATGACATTTAGAGGTGGTGGTTTTATATGGGAAAAAACCGTGCGGTGCAGATATGGAAAGGTGCACTTATCACTTAAGTCCCGAGTTTGGGAATGAGTCACATGATGCACTTACAGAAGGTGTAGTTTAAAGCAGAATTAACAATCAGACTGTCCAAATTACTAAAAAAGGTAAATAGACATTGGCAGAACCAATAATGTAGTTGTATTAGCAGAGTAGCAAAAACTTTAGGTATGAAAATGATTTCAATGAAGTCGATTGTTTTATAATGGGATCTACGTATATAAAGTGCAAAATAAAGATGTTTTCCACAGGACCGGTGTTTTGGTTCGCAATATGTTCGGAAAAACATATGGGATTGCTAGTTCGTAGTTTCATTACATGATCGTTACTAATTATTCAAAATGTGTAAAGAACTCTGAAATTCATAACCCTTTCTTAACTTTATAGTTAATAAATAACAGGTTTTAGTTTCGACTTGATCTCAAGCCAAAGCTTGCTAGGGATCATTACTTATTTATTTAAGAAAAAGTTGAAATCGAAGTACATGAAGTTCAGAGTTTTTTACATAGGTTTAATAATCAATCGGTACAGTGAAAACATGGAAACCTATCCTATCAAGTGAAAACGATTTTATCAGAGGCCTGCAATAGGACCCAACTCGCAACCCAACTCTGTACCGGACCTGCGTTGCGGGTTGAGCCTGGATGGGCATAATTAATATCAATGAATGCGGGTTAGACCCGGGTTGATACTTATACCCAACATTACAGCGTGCTAAAAAATTGTATCATACAATAATTTTTTTTTGTAAATAATTATTTATTACTCAATATTACAATTCAAGTGATAAATTATTATTGAAAATACAAAAGGATAGGGATTTGGATATATACAATGGTGGCAATATTAAGTGCTTGTTATCTTTCAGTTCCGTCTTCTAGTGTATCAATTTAGTGCAACAGGATTAACTATTAATCAGCTTCGTGCAAATTTAAATCCACATACAATGGACAGTATACTTGTGTTGCGAGGTGCACTTTAACAAATGTTATTTTATAATATTTTAAATATTATATTATCCGGTGAATATATATATAATAATAATATGTGAAATTTTTTGTCTACGGGTTGGGTTAGGGTTTAATTTTAGGGATCCGGGTTGGACATGAGTTTAATTATAATGGCTCATGCAGACCTCTAGTGGTGATGAACAATCATTGAAAAAAAAAAAATTTATATATAGTTAATAAATATTAAAATTATCCATGCAAAATAATGATTCATTAAGCTAAAATTTAATATACATAAATTTATTTAACAGTTTGATGTACAACAAACAGTCTCTAGAAATGTGTCCTTCCACTGTTACCAATGTCATTGCAATTGTCATTGATACTGACTGTTGTTATCATCATCATAAAACCAGTTATATTGTGTAGTTATTAGCAAGATGTTCAAGTGATTCGCATTTTAAGCGGTTTTGATTCCGCATCCTTCAATAATGATTATTATTATTTCTGTAATGATCTCGATCTCCTCTTCTTACAAAATTTGATGTCTTTTGTTGTTTTGAATCTCCGCTACGAGTACAAAAACGAGCATTATGTTCTGGGGATCCACATTTGAAGCACTTTCTGTTTGATGAGTTACCATTCAATTTGCTACTACCAAAAGTGTTATTCCCTTCATGATGACTATCTCTATGACGATATCCTCCTCCTCTTGCCGATGTTCTTTGTTGTTGCTGTAAGTTTTCATCACGAGTACATGAACGAGCATGATGCTCTGGAGATCCACATTTGAAGCACTTTCCGCTTAATGGGTTATTACTCAATTTGTTATTACCAAATGTGTTATCTTCATAATTATTAAGATCTCGGTGACGATGTCCTCCTCCTTTCACAAATGCTGGTGCCTGTTGTTGCCATAAGTTATTATTATCCAATCTGTTATTACCAAATGTGTTATCTTCATAATAATTATTATGATCCCTTCTCATGAATGATTGTTGTTGTGATGATGTTGGTGAATTTTCACTACGAGGACAGTTACGAATGTGATGTCCCGTGGACCCACAATTGTAACATTGTTCACCATATGATCTATCAAAAAAATCTTTCATGTTGCTATTATGATCAATTATGTGATGGTGATTATATCTACCAACAAGTGCTGATCGTTGCTGTCGTTGTGGTGATGGTGAATTTTCACTATAAGGGCAGTTATGACGTTTTTCATTGGATCCACATTTATGACAATTAAAGGGTGATGTATTATTTGCACGATTAATTTTGTTATCAAATTTGCTATGTTCTTTGATATTATATTGAGAGCAATCACGACTATAATGACCTCGCTTTTTGCAAATGTAACAAATTGGAACAGATAAATCATCAACTAATTGACCAGAGTCTGCCAACCAATCGAAATTTTCTTGTTCACTCTGTGCTCTAATACCAGCAGATCGCGGAAGAATTTTTGGCGAGACCATTATCAAAGAAGCAACATATTTCTTTCCCTTGTTTCCTTGAAGGTCAGCTATACATTTTCTCAATGGGATTCCTTCGCGTTGTATTGCTATTATCTTACAATTACAATTTTCTTTTCTTAATTTAGTTTCAATAGACTGAAAAGTCTCGTGAGATGCTGCCTTAGTGTACATCTCAAAAGCTTCTTTTACCCCTTCCAAATCCTTTTGTGAATCCGCGGTAACTAATTTAGTCCATGCTATTTTTGCATTAATTTCATTCTCTGGACATTCAGAAGGTGCATGACCTGCTTTTTTACAACTATTGCAAAAATTTTCTTGATTAACTTTGCTTATGGTTTGGTTGTCTTTATCACGATTATTTTGAGGATTGTAATAATTATTGTTGTTATTTTTTTTAGTAATATCAAAACCACTTCTTTTACTGTTGTTGTTTCTACTCCGTGAACCTTCATTGTTTTTATTATTTGAACGACCATTACTCCTTGAATTATTTATTTCAGCTTTAAATTTGGCAGTTAGTTTTTCCCATTCGCTTTCATCATCTCGGTTATTCGATCCCCAACTACGACCACTTTGATTAATTTGAACCTTATTAGGATAATTACTGCTGCTACTGAAAACATTATCATTATCTAGATTATAGCCACTTGATCGTAATTCTGCTTCAAATATTGCCGCCTTTTTTAGCCAACTGTTATCATCATTACCAGATTGGTTATATGAAACATGTTGATAACCATCTCCATTTAATTTGGTTCCTGTTTCAGCTTGTGGCTCTTCATGATTAGAACTACATGTCAAACTGGTGTTATTGTAGCCGTTTTGTGATACTATTACGCCTTCACTATCATTATCCAATTCGTTTTTAACATCACCATTAATAGTTGTGATTTCGGTTTCAGCATTAAACATTCCATTCCTAGTATCATTAATGGTTAAATCATCATCATTTGAACCTAACACATTTTCAAAAACAATGTCATTGGAAGTTCGTGTAACACCACTATCATTCAAAGATTTATTGGTCAAATCAACATTAATTTTGCTATTTGAATCAGTTACCACATTGTCATTGCCATTACTCTCATTTAGCATTAAATCTCCTTTTTCATTTGATTGTGGTTTAGTAACAGTTGAACTAAAATCGGCGTTTGAGTAATTAATATTTTCTTTTGAGTTTGTATTTTCGTCATATATATTGATATTACCACCGCCATTTGAGCCTAACACATTTTCTAAATCAGAGAGATTTTGGTCATTTGAAGTTTGCCTGATATCGTCATTATTCATAGATTTATTGATCAAATCAACATTAATTGTAGCATTTGAGCTAGTCACACCACTATTATTGTCATTATTATCACTTGATATCAGATCTTCTTCTTCTTTTTCCAATGGTAATTCAGCAATAGTTGAACTAAAATCAGTATTTGAGTAATTGAAGTTTTCTTTTGATTTTATATCTACATTATTATTTACAGCATTATTTACAACGTTATAATTTACAACAGTATTGTTTGTACTAATTTCAGATTCAACATATTCAACGTGAGCAACTTGCATCAAACAATTATTTCCTTGAATAATATCATCATCAGATTTCGTAGTGTTGTCAGTGCTATCGTATTCATCATCAATATCACTGTCGTTGGTGCTGACATCATCATTTGATTCATTGTCTTCTACAATAGATTTAGCGATAACGGTATTGGTATTATTTGTCATTATATTTAGTTCGTCATCAATGTCGGATTCGGATTCGAGATTAACAATAATAAGACCTTTTGAAGTTTCTAAATCTACAGGTTCGGTCAAGCTATCAACTGAAACCACATCATTATTTATATCTGCAATGGTATTATCTTCACTCGATGACAATGACGATTCTTGTTGTAAAGAAGTTGACTCATCGGTCTGTACACCAACATCTTGATATGTTTTATGGTCGGTGTTTACACCAATGGCATGGTATGATTTTCGTACAGAATTATAATAGAGTAAAAGTATAGAATTAATAGCACCGATAATTGCTATGCTTAAAAAGATAAAGTATATACTTTCAAACATTGCTGTTGCTTGAATTATAATTTATGTTTATTTTTTATCGGAAAAATTATTTTTTCTAATATATAATAATAATAGATTGATCGACAAAAATAGATTAATATTAATTTGAACAAATTTCGCACAAATCAGTCTCGGGCTTGAGTTAATTATGTTAATTATTTATGCCACACTTGGAAATTCATCATATGCATTATGATGATCGTGAAACCAATATGTATATGTATGCATATGTCTGAAAGATTGGGCATTACTGGCTTAGAAAACAATAGAACTAGCCAAAAACATGCAAGGGCATGCTATGCAAGATATGTAAAGATATTATTATTATTATTGTTAAAAGACATGCGATTATTATCTCAAATCTGTTATCTTGGTTGGGTTGTATTAGTCGAAACATGCTTTAGAATTTTATTTTTATTTTTACAATTTACCCTATTAGTATCGTTCGATGTCCAGAATTTCTGGCAAAAAAAAAAAATCTTCATTAATAAAGATGATAAACAGGGACGTGCTTGCAACAAAATGAACATTCAAAAAAAATTCCTTGGCTTTTCAATAAAGAAAAATTCTTGCTGTAAAATTATTTTTTAATTTGTAGTTACTATTACGTAAACATGATAATTTCTACTTTTATTCCAAAAGATTGATAAAAAAAGTGAATTGTGCAAGATTTGACTTGCACAATTTTTGAAGATTATCTACCTGAAAAAATCAAAAATTTTTTTTAAAAAAAAAAAAAATGTCCGAACAAAAAATTGGTAATATATACTTATCTATTTTGAATTATTTTGAATGCATGAATTTTTTGTATTGATTTCTTACATTTGTATACATTTCACACACACACAAAAAAATATAAGCAATTCTTTCGGTTTATAATAAAACTGGTCTTTTAGAATTTGCTAAAGCACTCAATGAATTGAATGTTCGTCTTTTGGGATCTGGAGGTACTGCAAAGAAAATAAGAGAGGCTGGTATTCCTATTTCGTATGTTATCCCTTTAAACTTACTGAGCCTTTTAACCAAAGCAGTTAATCACACAATGGCTAACCAATTATTACTATTACTATTACTATTACTATTACTATTATTATTCAATTCTAATTCTTAGGGATGTCTCGGAGATAACCAAAGCTCCTGAAATATTAGGAGGTCGCGTCAAAACATTACATCCAGCTGTACATGGCGGTAATTATTTTCTATCAGCTTGATTAATTAATTAATATATTCGGTAAATTGATTTTATTTGTTATTCTTAATTTTCTACTTTTCTAAAAAAGGCATTCTTGCTAGAAATATTCAAAGTGATGAGGCCGATCTTATCCAACAAAATATAAAAAAGATTGACTATGTGGTTTGCAATCTTTATCCTTTCAAAGAAACAATTGAAAAAGAAAATATCACTATTGCTGAGGCTGTTGAAGAAATTGACATTGGTCAGTCATAATAATGATTTATTCAACGGTGTCAGCGTAATTATTTTATTCTAATGACAATTGCCATTATTTGTTGGTATATATATATATATATAGGCGGTGTTACTCTTTTAAGAGCTGCTGCAAAAAATCATGATCGTGTTACAGTACTTTCGGATCCAAATGATTACACAAATTTCTTGACTGAATTGAAAAAAGATGGCCACGTATCAGAAAATACTCGTAGATTATTGGCATTAAAAGTATTTATATAAATATAAATATGTATTCCATGATATATATCTATCTCTTAATTATTAACATAAATTTAATAAATTTAGTTTTTTTTTTTAAAAAACATTAGGCATTTAATCATACTGCTGATTATGATGATGCAATTTCTAATTATTTTAGGCAACAATATGCACCTAATATTTCTCAATTGACATTGCGTTATGGAGCAAATCCACATCAAAAACCTGCTCAAGTCTTTGTGAAAGATGGTGTATTACCAATAAAAGGTTAGGATGATTTAATACAAATATCTGATTAATTTAAAACATATTATTACATGAATAATAATTACAATATGATTATTATAATATATATAGTCCTTTCTGGTTCACCTGGTTATATTAATTTGCTTGATGCTTTAAATGGCTGGCCTTTAGTCAAAGTGGGTGTTCTATAGATAGATATAAACAATTAATGATGATGTTTCCAAGACTTATTATTATTATTATTATTATTATTAAAATAAAAATAGGAACTCAAAAATGCACTTAATATACCAGCAGCCGCCTCTTTTAAACATGTTTCACCTGCTGGTGCTGCTGTAGGGTTATCATTATCTGATATCGAGAAAAAAGTATATTTTGTAGATGACGTCAAAGATCTTTCACCTTTGGCAAATGCCTATGCACGTGCTAGAGGTAAATCAGTGTTAATAATAATATCAATGTTGCTGATGAGTCTAGTTATTGTTTTGCCTTCTGACTAATAAATTTATTTTGTTGGTTAGGTGCTGACAGAATGTCTTCTTTTGGAGACTGGATTGCTCTAAGTGATATAGTCGATATTCCCACAGCAAAAATTATTTCACGAGAGGTATCTGATGGAATTATTGCTCCAGGTTATGAACCCGAAGCTTTGGAAATTTTACGTAAAAAGAAAAATGGCAAATACACAGTTATTCAGGTGGATTCTCAAATAATATAACAAATGTTTCTTAAAAAAATATATATAAAATAACACATTTTTTTCTTTATATATATATATATATATATATATATATATGAATGATCATTAGGTTGACCCTGATTATGAACCACCTGAAACAGAAACTCGACAAGTTTATGGATTATTTTTGCAACAAAAGCGTAACAATGTTCAAATAGATCAAAAATTATTTGAAAATATTGTCTCAAAAAATAAAAATGTAATTATTTATTTGACTTTTTTTCTATCTTCTAATTTTAATGATTAATCCTATAAAGCACAATTTTTATTTATTATTTAAAAAAAAAATTAGTTATCAGAATCTGCAATCACTGATTTGATAGTGGCAACAATCTCTTTAAAATATACCCAGTCCAATTCAGTTTGTTATGCTAAAAATGGTATGGTTATTGGACTCGGCGCTGGTCAACAATCTCGTATTCATTGTACAAGATTAGCTGGTGACAAAGCTGATAATTGGTGGCTACGTCATCATCCAAAAGTTTTGGCATTTAATTTTAAAAAAGAAGTGAAACGAGCCGATAAAAGTAATGCGATTGATTTATATATCATCGATAAAATCGGAGAAGGATCGGAACGTGAATCATGGGAATCTTTATTTACATCAATACCTACACCGTTATCACCTGAAGAACGTAAATCACATCTTGCCACTCTATCAGATGTTGCCTTATCTTCTGACGCATTCTTTCCTTTTTCAGATAATGTACACAGAGCTTCACAATCTGGTGTTAAGTTTATTGCTGCTCCAAGTGGTTCAATACAAGATGAGGCAGTTATTAAAGCTTCTGATGAACATGAAATTGTGTTAATTCATACAAGTTTAAGATTGTTCCATCATTAATTATTATTATTATTATTATTATTATTATTATTATTATTATTATTTAAATATTGTTCACTAGTTACATTTACAAATTTTGGTTGGGAAAAATCTATTATAATAGAATTTTTTTATTTTTTTATTAACTGAAAAATTTTTTGAAATATGAGAAGAAAAAAATCGCGAATATATATTTATAAAAATCAAAAAAGAATAATTAAAAAATATCAAATTATTATTATAATATTTTAATTCTTATCATTATCATCACTGTAACTATTATTGGAAACTGTACTATCGTCATCATGATCACTTGAAATCTTATCATTTTTGGATGCATATTTTTCATTATTTTCATCATCATTTTCAATCTCATGTATAATTTCTAAATTGGTCTTTTTAGAAAACTCCCCTCCCTCTTCGTTTTCATCGTGTGTATCCTCAAGTACATTCTTCTCATCCACACCACTACTACTATCGTCCTGATCAATAATACCAACATCATCTAACGATGAATCAGATTGTTGTTCTTTAACAACAATTCCTGAGGAAGTGTCTTCATTTTCTTCTAACACCAAACAATCAGATAATCCATTGTCTTTCAAAACCTGTGCTACCATTTCAGGCATTTGTCTTATAAATTCACCTATAGCCATTTCTGCCACCAATTCGTCTGCTGATTCCTTGGTAGCTTTAAATGCACCAAATGTGCGTTTAAGTATTGGTACACGTAATAAAGAGCTAAACATTCTTTTTCTTTTCTTACGTGAAATTAAAACAAATTTGGTGTTCAAGTGATTACAAATCGAAAAGAAAACTCTAAGCAATGTTAGATTTTCTAATAGACTATGGGATTGATCTACTGTATTGTTATTAATTGAGGTCGTGGAAGATGAGGGTGTTAATGATGAGTTAGTTTGTGGTGTTTGCGGTGCTTTGGATGAGGGTGAATTTAATCTAGAGGCTGATGAAGATGATGAGTTAGTTTTGGATGGAGACGAATTTAATTTTGACTTTGAAATTGGTGAGCTTGATGTTGACGATGTTGATAAAGATGATTTTATCGAATTGGAAGAATTATTGTTTTTTTGTCTAAATTGTTTATTATCATTTGTATGATTATTAATATTTTGATTAGAAAAATTTTGTGATAATTGCTGTGGTGATGATGAGGGCAGTTTAGAATCAGATGATAAGTCATGATCATGATCACGATCAACTACTTTATGGTTTTTATCAAATTCAAGATCTGGCAGAGTTTGATGCTCTTTATGTGGTTCCGATGATAATTTTTCTAGCGGTAATGGCGATTCCGATGTTTGCTGTTCTAGTGGTGAGTGTAATAATTCTTGAATAAGCTTTTGATATTCTATTGATCTAACAGATGGTATATTCTGTTTTTGTTGTTGTACGCTTTCTTGCTTTATGATTTTTTGATGATCATCGAGTTCTTCATTTTGTGATTGGGGATTATTGTCATTTTGATGATTTCGGACTGTGTGTAAATCATGATTATTATTGTTATTTTGTGATGATGATGTTTCATCAATCATGTTTTGAAGAGTTTTATCATTATAGATATTTTGGAATAATATTGAATATTTAGTATTATAAATGTTATTATGGTTAGTTTGATGTTGTTGTTGGCTTTGAAGTAGATTATTATTATTAATGCAATGAACTGGATGTGGCAATGATGGTGTTGTTGATGACATTAAATTATTAATTGTAGCTGTTGTTAATGTAGCTATTGAGTTGGTTGTTATTCTTGTTTCAGTTGTGATTTGACATAAAGATGCTGAAGTGTAATTTGCGTTATTATTAATAAAATCAGTGTTATCTTTGTTAAGTGAATTATTGTTAGGTATAGCAACGGTATTTTTAGTATTATTACCAGGTTCGTTATCGTGATGGTTAGGATTTGAGGTTAATAACATCATGATGATATCGTTGTTATATTTATCAATATTATCATGAATATTATTCGATAAATTATATGATGAGGATAATGATGATGATTGGGGTATATGAGTAGAAAAAGAGGCAGAAGAAGGTGTTGTTCTTTTATAATTATAATTATTATAATTATTGTTGTAACCGTTATTGTAATAATTATTATAATTATAATTATAGTTATTGTTGAAACTATTATTGTAATAATTATTGTAATTGTAATTATTCGATCTATACAAATAATTATTATGATTGAAGGAAGAATCTGTTACATACGATGATAATGATTGTTGTGGCTGCTGTTGTTGTATTAGTGGTGGTTGAATTAAAGGTGATGCAGTAGAATATTGATTGATTGATTTGTATGGTACTATATCATGATTAGTTTTATTAATATTATTGTTAATATTGATATCTGTACTCATGACATCAATTATATTATTATTGCTATAGTAACTATTACTATTATTGTTATTGGCATTGTTGGTGTTATTGTTGTAGTTATAATTATTATCAGTATTAGAATTAATGTCAGTACTAATATTATTGGAATTAATAATAGCACCGGTACTAATTTTCTTAATATTATTGTTGTTGTTATTATTAACAGAATCTTCCGAGACGAATGAATAACGAGAGGCAGAACGATTAGAATAAGTTGGGTTAAGTATTTGTTGTTTATATGAAGGATACGAATCATTAAGATATAATAAAGATGAGGTTGAGGTTGAGGTTGATTTGTCACTAAAGTGATCAAAAGAGTTTGGAACGGCCATATTATTATTAAGTAAAATAATGTAGAATCGTTTGTAAAAAAATTATTTTTATATTTATATATTTATATATGTAATAGTGTAAAAAAAAAAAAAAGAAAGAAATTTTATGAAGAGGGGGAATAAAAAAAAATTTTTAATATTTATAATGTGAATATGATGATGGATGAATTGAAAATTTGAAACAATTTTAACTGATGATCAAATACTTTATTTGGAATCGACCATTATTTTTACATCTGCGCCATGACGCCAATTTTGAGGGCTCAAAGTTGGGGCTTATTACACATATAAATCTTGCAATGTATTTATTCGTAATTATCATTATCATCATTATTATTAACAAGAAGCATCTTCATAAACATCTTTATCATTATCAAGACAAAATTTAAAAATTGTCCCAGTACATCATATTAATATCACTGATTGCTCTGTCTAAATGGTGGCATGAAGTAGTGACTTTGGCCTTACACTTCCATTTTTGGAAATAGGGAGAATTTCAAGCTACAATTGTTGCAACGATTTTATTGGCCCTGTAGGCACCCTTTAATTCTTAGTTTTGACTTGTAAATAATGACTCGATAATGTCTTTGGAACGGTTTTAAAATTCTTTATAACTAATTTTGTAAAATAAATATTACTATTATTGTAAATTTTTTCGGTCACTAAAATTTTTTCATTACCACTTTGATGGCCAAGACAATGTAACATACACGGAAAGAGGCTCAGATTAAAATCATCTTCCAACTCTGCCATCTTTATTTGTCAGGACATTATGTGGCTTTCAAAATAGTTTCTCAAATTTCGTTTCTTGGTATATATTAACATTTATTAATTGGGCAGTGTTGACATGACTTTTGTTGGGGGTGGGTGCTTATATAATAACATAATGTCGATCAGTCAGTTCACCAAAGAAATTATATATATTTTGAAATGTAGCTAGTATACGAAAAAGAGAGATTCTGTTCCCATATTGGAATATAGTGTATTATAGTATCTCTAGTTTATCGGCACAGAAAGATTTTTGAAAAGAACAGTTCCAATGATGAAAAAATCATGTTCAAAAATCATCCATACTTTGAAAAACACTTTTCGAAATTTACTAGTCCACGAAAATTCCCATTTTTGAATAGTGTAGAATAATAACTTGGCAGAGTTTTTATTAATAAAAACAGTTATAAGGGCTTGAAGTCATGGGATTTTACTTTCTAATTAGATTTGTTTAGTCAACCAAAATTTAAAAACATCTTTATTTATCAAGCAAAGAAAAGTCGCTCTTTGTTCAATGTCACACAGAAAAAAGTCGCATGTTAGAACCTTTTGAGTTATAATGAATGCCTTGAAAGATACTATAGTTACAGAAGGTACATAAATATTTTTGTCACCATTACCATTATTGAAAATATAAATAAATCTTTTGTTTAAATAAAACTAGATGATGTCAATTTGCTTGTAGTAATTATTGATACAAATCCAATAATATGGGCATCAAAAGATTCAATATTCACGCTCAAAGATATTGTACACCATCTTTTGATATATATTAATGCACATTTATCATTAAAACATGATAATGAGGTAGTTGTCATTGCAAGTCATACTGGTTTCAGGTAAATTATATAAATGGGACAATATAAATTGTTATAATAATATTAATAATATAATAATATGTTGTTTTTAGTAAATTTTTATATCCAATCCCATTAGAATCAAAATCAGAATCTTTGCACCAAAAATCTGACAAATCAAACAATTCCACATTATATCAAAGATTTAGAGTGATAAATGATCAAGTAATATTAAATTTAAAGACTTTGATCAAAGATCTTAATATTGAAAATATAAATAATAAGCATATAGATAGAGGTAAAATTATTTTGTGTTTGCTGACATTGGATGTGGACAAGCAATATTTAAAAAATAATTATTATTTTATTTATTGATAGGAAGTTCCATGATTGCAGGAGCTCTTTCGATGTCATTATGTTGTATCCTTATCAAACTATGTTTTTTGTATATGAAATTGAAATTATGTGAAATTGAATGAAATCTATAATTAGAGGTGAAATTCCTTTTGATTTGCTAATTTAACTTTCACATAGATTTCATTTTCACGCATAACATATTCATTTAATTTAATCAATCTTTAAACTAAAAAAATATTCCTTGATTTTGTATATTTGGTAAACTAAGATATCAATAAAATAATGAAAGCAGATGAAATTGGTCATATAAAGCCAAGAATGATGATTATTTCTGTTTCACCAGATTCACCATATCAATATATATCTATAATGAATTGTATATTCTCTGCACAAAAATTAGTAAGAGAGAAGATGATTCAATATACACATGTTTATATATATAAATATATTATTTGATATATTATTTAATTATTTGTAGGGAATACCCATGGATGTTTGTAAATTATTCGACGAGGACACTGTGTTTTTACAACAAGCATCTTTTATAACTGGTGGTAGATATCTTAAATTAGAAAATCCTCATGGATTTTTACAATCATTGATGGTATGAGAATATTTCCCATCAATCATATTAATTTTATGATCTTATTTAATAATAATAACAATAATAATAAATATAATTTGTAATTTTAATAGATGACTTTTCTTCCTGATAGATTTACTAGAAAATATCTTTGCTTACCAGGTGAAGAAAAGATAGATTTTGGTGCAGCATGTTTTTGTCACAAAAAAATTATTGATATTGGATATGTTTGTTCTGTTTGTTTATCAAGTAAATATCTTTCTCAAAATCTATTTTGTTTTTTTTTTTCCTCATAAATTCAAAAAAAATTTTTTTTTCTTCAATTTAAAAAGTTTTTTGTCATTCATTGAAGCAATGTTCAACTTGCAGGTATTTATTAAAAATTTTATTTAATTTAGTTTCAATTATTAATTCGTGATCCTTTTAAGAAGGAAAGTAACACTAACTTTTAATAATAATATCCATAATCTCAGCACACTTCTAAAATAATGTGTAAACAGTTCCAAGAAGGGGACCTTGATGGCACAAGAAAGAATATTTATATTTGTTTGTTTATTTTATTAAAGTACAAACATAATATGATTAGCAGAAGCAAAGTAAATTCTTTGAATTTTATTAATATGCATCTGCTGATCATCATTATTAAAATTGTTTCCTCCTTAAAAGGATCACGAATTAAAGCTATACTATCATATATATTCACATACCGTACATATATATATATTTTTTTTTTTAGGAGTAAACTTACGTTATCATCTAAAGTTAGTGTTGGAACTAAATTACATAATGGGATGAGAAATCAAAAAAATGACCAATAAATTTATAAATTATAAGCATTTAATATAATAACTATTTGAAATTACTGTAAAATTATTTGATAGATTTATAATAGATGTAGTCTCTGAATTGAAACAAAGATACAAATAAAAAAGTTGAAAGCACATAATGGTATTTTCTTTAATGAAAAGCAGGCATTTTGGCAAAATTGGGTTTGGGATTCTAATCTGATGGAAATCAAATGTGACCAATCATCAAAGTTTCAATGTTGGCCATCTTTCAATAAAAAATATCATTAAGGCTTTTTTGCATTGATACTAATATTTTAACACTTAAAAAGGCATCTTTCTAGAAAGTACCATTTTATTAATTTTATCTGCTTAGAAATATTTTATGCTGATCAGTACATATGTAACACATATTTATATATTTGTTTGTAAACCCCTTTTATTATATTATTATTATTTTTACAAAATTTATTCCTTGGGATTATTTTATTATTATTTGTTGTCATTTTCTTTATTTTTCATTTTATGTATATACTTATTTCTTTAGTCAGAACTTCTTTTGCTAATTTTCTTTTGGTTTAAAGTAAAATTTTCTATGGGCTTTTCTTGGAAATTCACTAAGTTTGTTTTATTGTTATATTGTTATATCCATCTTTTCTTTTAATATAAATTTTTTTTTGTATTTCTTTCAATCCTCTTGGCCAGAGTTGATCCTTCCTTGCTTTTCTCTTGTCTATTTCTCTTTTTTCTCAGTAAAAGATGAACTGTTGGCTGATACCCTTTTGAACTCCTTTTAATTTCCATTCTTTGATCACTGGATGATCCCAACATTAATTTATGAATTATTAAATCCTCCCATTCTTCTGTGTATCAAATCAAAGCAAATCATGTTAATTTATTTATATATAAATCAGATTGAAATGAAACAAATAAAAATTATGTGATTCAATTTAGATTTTGTTGATTCATTAGAAGCATTCCCTTTTCTCATAATTACCAAAAATATAACTTGTAGTACTCCAATCCAGCATGCAAATTTAGACTTCTCTATGCAGCAAAATGACCTATTTACCTGATACAGCAACATTTTCCACAATGCAAACAGAGCTTGCTACCTCACATTTCTGATGCAGTCATGTTGTCATTTCTCCAGTGAAGTGAGCTGCATGGAGCCTTGACCCTTTCTTGATCTTATACTCCATCAGGAAATTTTCCCTGCCATAATATTACATCCATAAATTTTAATATTTAAAGTTGTAATATTTGCATAAAAAATTATGTAATATTTACACCCAATATAATGTGAGATTGTAAATCGTGGACCAACCAATTGACCGTTAATATTGACCAATTAGAACGAACTTACTACGGGAGTCATGTGATGCGCTAAATATTACATCACGATTAACAATT